CTGATTAGACACTTCTACATACCTTTACTCCATGGCAGGGTGACTGGGCTTTTTTGCTTGTCACTCAGTATATCTTGTAGTTCTTCTTTCTTTCTTTCAGCAAAGCCTGGTTTGGGGACAGAGCAGTTTGTGACATTCTTCTCAACAGAACTTCTGGAATTTGTGTGTTAATTATTTTGAGAACAGCTGCATCTGGTCAGCAAAACAGTATATTCTTAGCCTTAATTTTTGCATTCTTTTAAACTTTTTTTTTTTTTTTCCATAATATGTCCTGATAGAGAAGAATATATAGGGATCATAGCATTCCTGGATGCTCAGTAATAAAATTTTAGAGGTCCAAACCCTCAGAATTTATAAGTCATACCCTCCCATGCTCTTCTGAGGAGATCTGTAGCTGCAGTGTCAATCCACAGCTGGCTTCAGTGTTCCACTGACACTACCAGCAAAGCAGCTTGCCACATTCACGCACTGTCTCTGCACAGCTGAGACTGAAATTTGATTTCAGAGCATTTTATCTACTTTTATTTCTCCTTTAGAAATGTTTTTACTCCTGTTATTACAAGCTGAACTGAAGTCACTGGCAGTGGTAAATGACTAATTACTTCACAACGCTGCAGAAAACTTTTGCTTATGGCTGGAGGGATTGAGTGAAAGTTTGCAGCTTGCTCCAGCCTTGTCTCACCACGCTGCGGCAGTGTGGGATCGCACAGCAACGCCCTGTGCCCCCTTTAACCTGTTTGGTTGCTGGGCTGTTACAGGAGCCAGACACAAATTGCTCCTCTCTGCAGCACAGGGACAGGTCCCGTGGAGGACTGAATGGAGAGAGAAGAGTTAGAGGTGCGAGGGAAGGGCAAGGACAGAGGTTTTTACATGTTGCTGCTGTTGACTTGGCAGAATTTTTGGTTGCTTAGTGCTTCAGTGAGATCAAACCCAGAAGCTTAGGAGTGTCCTACGGGCTTTGTGCTCTCCTGTAATCAAAGAGGCAGTAGCTGAAAACAAGTGTCGTGTCTTTGTTCTAGTTTGCGTTGCTTTTCCATGTCACATAGATGGTGTGGAGAATAACATACAGGCGTGACAAGTGCCACTTATAGCTGGTTGATATTCTGCTGATGCCGCAGAGGAAGGGATGATCTTGTGATTAAAGAGCAGGGCTTGAAATCCTGAGTTCCTCTAACCTCGATTCCTCTGCCAGTGATTTTGGGTGTGACTTTGGGCAAGTCACCCAGTGGCTTATGCCTCAGGTTCCTTCCTAGTCAAATTACAAGAATAATTTTATGAGGGTGGTTCAAGGGTCATTTAATGCTAATAATGGTTTTGATATCTAGCGAAAGCATTAAAACTAGGTTGTGATATGTTCATGCCAGTAACTTGAAAAATGTTCTGTGGTTTGAATCTTTCCTATTAGTATAAAGAGGAATGCTCTTCCCTTGAGGCAAATATTCTTACTCTTGAAAGAATTCTTGTTTTGACTTATCTGTAAGGATATTATCAGCAAATTTAATGTAGCAGAACAAATACAAAGCAGCAGCTGTACAGCAGAGGTCACTGTTGCATTAGCTGGATAAATGTTGCTCAGTGGCTGACAGGTCTGACCAAAAGGATTTCTCATTCACAGGAATTATTGGGATTTCAAGCAAATAAACATTTTTCCTGACTTTTTTGTTCCTTGCAAACAGAGAAGAAGCACCAGGTGACCTATATACACACAGCTTGTACTCCAAACAGCTTCAGAATCTTAGAAAAACTTAGTCTTGACAGTTTAATGGGAAACTCACAGAGATAGAGGGAGCTATTTTCACATCATGTCTTTCACTCAACACCTGGAGAGTTGACAAAAATTGATTTTACAGAGAAGTCAGCCCAGGTTTGTGTGTTTCGTTGAAAACAGGGAACCCAAAAAGCTCAGGCTCCCAGTTCCTTGCTGGAAATCCTCAGATGTGCCCTGGGGGTGTGCCTATAACTGCCCTGCACAGCATGGGGCTGCTTCATCTGCTAAGGCACTAAGGGAGTCATGTGCATACCTGGTGCCTGATCCTGGAGCACTTCAGGTCATAATGCTGGGGAGAGTCCAGCTGACAGGTCTGTTTTGGAGAAGTCTAGAAGTCTGTCAGGGAGGTGTATGCTTCAGAGGGTTAAAAATGATGCTGGTGAGAGCTGCTTAGAGGGAAAGAGACCCAGATCTGGAGTACTGGATGAGGAACAAAGGCGGATTTCAGGCAGACCTTTCTTGGATTTGATGGAAATTCATCTTATCACAGGTGCTTGAATCATTTTAGGTTTAACATCAGCATTTTCAGGTATAGCCAAACTACATGTTCTATATAGAAAGCTACACTTTGTGCAAAACAGCAAATATAATCTGGGAGAGCAACAGTCTTCTAGGGTTTCCAACAAGAGGGTTCTTTTCACATACAAATTTTTTGCTCTATCCTATTTAAAAATGCACAGCAGCAGCAGTAGTAAATGGGACATGTAAAGAATGTTCAGGACAAATTAGTGATACCCTTTTGAGCATTTTGAAAAAATATTAATAAGGGAAAAAACTATGCGCACAACGTCTTGCCTTTCAAATCAAATAATTCTGGCTATGCAAATTGCATATTGTAAATGAATAATGCAAAAAAGCCCTTCTTCTCTTTGTACACACTATATATTAAATAATACATTAATAGCAAAGAGCTCAGGTGCCATAAATTCACAGTTCAGTTACTCCCTACATATTAGGCCTTTTAAGGGTACTTATCCATTTCACCCCACTGGTCAGCTTACAGATCGCTGCAATATCTCAGCACCTTTCTGAAATGAGGTGGGATAGAGCAAGCCCAAAATGGGAAGTCAGATCTGGTGATGTTGACTCAATATCTGAAAGTTTTTCAGGATGCTTGTCAAGATAACAAATAATTTCACCCAGTGCAAATTATTGAACAATGAAGAAACGTGGCTTTTTGTCTGGACTTTTTTTTTTTTTCCTATTTAAACAGAAGGATTCATTAGTAACTTTAGATTCAACTCTGTAAATCAGTATTTTTATTCTGTCCTAAAAAAGTGAACCCTTTGTGCTTCAGTAATTTTGGAGTATTATCAAGGTTATTTATCAGTTTAATCATGGTTTTAGAAGGCTTTTGGAATTGTCGTGATCTTCTTCAATAGAAAAGTGCAATGAATGGCCTTTATCCATTAAAAGGAACAATAATGAAAACACAGAACCAGATCTCTCTGTTCCCAGGCATAATCCTGTAAGAACAGTGATCAAGGGATAAGCAAAGGAAAAGAACAGGGACCCAGTGATTATAATTTTTAAAATGTTAAAGACTGCACTTAGGTCAGTCAGGATGCATAGACCTAGGAGAGAGGGTGGGGTGGAAGGCAGGGCAAGACTCCAGTGACCTGAAAAAACATGCCAAAAGCAGAGCACAGGTGCAAATAGAAGAGTTTTGTTACCCTCCTTTGTTCCTAGAGAACAATGCAAAAAGGATTTAAAACCAGAATTTGGGCTGCAAGACACAAGTGGTGGAGCCTCTCTAAAACAGATGGGGTGTTGTCTAGAGAAGCATTTCACCTCCCAAACAGCTAGCAGGGCCCAAATCCATTTTCATGCAGAGGTTATCTCCAATCATAACTGAGCCAGGTTAGTATTGATACATTTCTGGGTTTGATTATATAGTGCTGAGCACTCTGACTCTGACCCAGTACATGTGTCCTTAACCTCATTTGCCTTAGGAGGGCTGTAGAATTAATTGCCTGCCCCAAATTTGGGAGGTACATTGTGAGACCAACTTCTTCTGAGATTCAGCTACTCTTAATTCAGCTACTCTTGGCACCCCATGCTCAGCCCACCAAGCAAGACAGCCTTCACATGACTGATTAGATTAATTGCTACTTCAGATTTTTAGGCCATATTTTGCAACAGGGACTTCTGGATTCTTACATTTCTTACAGCTCTTCATTTCAAAGCAAGTCACAAGCTCACTCTTCTCTTTGTAGGTAACTGTTTTCAGCTCTGTTTGGTGTCGTGAGCCCTCAGGCTGTCTGAAAAGCCAATGCAATCTATTTATCAAGCTGAGATACAAGCAAAAGTGCAGAAAAATATAAAAGCAATGCTTTAGAAAACATCTGTCTATACTGGCTGCAGTTCTCCAATGGATACTGAGGGTAAACTCCAGTCATTCCAGACCTTGCTGAATTCAGTGCTAGCTGAACATTTTTAAAGACAGACTGAATATTGGTTCCATCAATAAGAACTTTATACACAGAGCTTGTACAACTCTTCCCTGGAACTTTACCAAATTTTTAGATCGTAGATTTTTGCATATTATGATCACACGTCAGTGTTGGCATGAGAAAAAAATTCCTGCAGTTAATAAATAAAACCAAACTGTCTGAGAAAATCTTAACATGAGCACTCTTCGTGCTCATGTTAAAAGCGCAGAGGGGTTTTGGCACTCTTCCCTGGCATTAAAGTCCTTTATATTGTTCCATTATAGTCTGTTCTGTTCCTAATTATTTAAGAAACTAAGCACCTTGGATAAATTCCCACCTGATGCTATCAGGCAAGAGCTGTGGAATCCTTTATATAACTTATGTAAGTTATGAAAGACAGCACACCATTAATAACACAGGCTGGAGAGCAGCAGTAACAGAGCAAGATCTAGTCAGGAATGGAAAAATGCACAAAAACCTGCCAGTGTTTTCAAGTGAGGTGCACCTGAGAAGTGCCACAATCATGGTTTCTATTAGCCAGGAATGTCTGGATGAGATTAAGTGTTCAGCTGTCTGCAGTACTGACGATACATGCAATGGAGAGATGAGCTTTGGGAAAGCATCCAAGTGACTTATGTGCTTTCAGAAACTTTACCCAAAAACTTGCATGTAGGAATAATTTGAGTTACAAAAGATCAGTGAATTTTATTTATTTATTTTTTTTTTCTAATAAATAAAGCATTGTTTTAATATTTTAGTCACTGCTTAAGTAAGGCAAAAAATGTGAGCTATTTTTTCAGTTGATAGTTGTTCCTGCCAAAGTTTGCAATGAACTCTCGGTCAAGAGTAGTACTTCATCCTCAAGATCCCTGACCATGCTGACACTGTTTGGAAACCTCCAGCTCCTTTGACTCCAGTGACTTTCTGGTTGTCCACCCTCCTGATCATTCTCCATGGTGCATCTTCAGAAGTTCTTCCAAATCTTCTCTCCAGTGGTATGTACGTGGGAGGCCCAAATGCCTCTATTTTTTGCTGCATTTTTTGCTATGATTCCTGTACAAAATTATCTACCACCATTTCTCAAGGAATAAAAGTCTACTTTTTTTTTTTTTATTTCTGTCTTCTATCCAGATGAGAGCCTGGCTGAAATTTACTTGTGGATAATTTAATATTGTGTTCAATTCAGCGTGATTTAAAAGTATAGTTGAGGTGGAAAGGGACCTCTGGAGAGCATCTAGTCCATTCCCCCTTTCTTCCCCCCTTAAAGCATGGTCAGCTAGAGCAGGTTGCTCTGAGCCGTGTCTGGTTAGGTTTTAAACCTATCCAAGGATGGAGACTTCACAACTTTTCTGCACAACCTGTTCTGTTCCACTGCTCAACCACCTTCACAGTAAAACCAGGGCTCGATGTTCTCCCTACTTCTGCAAGGCATTTTATCCACATCCCTGTGGAGATCTTTCTGTTCTGCTTGTCACAGAACTGCCTTTACGTTTAGACATGTCTCTAGGTTCTCAGTTTCTAATTCTTGTTGCAGAATGAATACAATAGCTCAGCTGTTACTAAGACTCATCTTGTCATTGAGTTTTCCCAGCCTGAAAGATTTTCTTCCTTTACCCTCCCAAGATAACTCTTACCAATTCAGACATTTATGGAAGGGTATTTCTTTTAGGTCTTCCTAGCCTGCTGTGTTGACTCGTCTCACTTAGATCATTATGGTAATTCTACAGCGCCACATCCTGCCTCATAACGCACTGCGCAGAGCTCTGCAGCAGCCTTTTATGTTTTTAAGTTCATTATCATGCTTCAACGCCTTCCTTTCTGGAATGAGCAATCTTAATTCCTTCAACCATTGTGTGGGTCACAGTGTTCAGTTTCTCCGATGTTCTATGGACTGTACAATTTTCTCTATATTCATTACCTAGGAACAGTATGTGGGATGGTTCTTGGAACTGGGAATGAATCACTGTTTGATTCCTCTTCTGGTTTCTGGGTAGGCTCTGGGCAGGATCTGAAAGCAACTTTTAGAAACCATAAGAAATTGTGGTAGAGAAGTCTTGGGGTGAAGTTTGATACATCATTACGTTATTTTTCAATCCACAGGAAGCATACTGGGACTACTCAACTAAGTGATGTTATTTAGCACAGAAATGACCTTTTTATTGCTGTTGGGAGCTTGTGGTGTTTTGCTTTGAAACCAGCCTATATTGCAGTCTTTGTGGTATCCTGTGCATATCGTATCGGATGGGAAAAAGTCTGCACTGGCATTGTGGTTAAGGTCACATGTGTATTTAACATGCTACGTTCATGTTGTGAGCTGTAAGCACTAGTAACAAAGTGCATCTATGGACAGCCTTATTTAAGCTACTTTGGACAGGGTTTTTTAGTTTACCTGTTGTCTGCAAGTTGCTACATGCCTAAATTATAAACTAGAACAATTTTTTATTTTTTTTATTTTTATTTTTTTTACAGGACAACATCCCTTTATATCCTTTATGTTCTGGCTTGCAGGAAGCAATCAAATTCTGGTGATAAAGCCTACGTGCTGGAAGGTGATTTTTGGAGACTGCTTAAAAGGATGGCAGTTAAAGAACAATACATACAGTGAAAGATTGCATCTTTCATGTTTGTAAGTGACATTTTACACATACATATGGAACTAACAGTGTGTCCTGACCTATTACAGGTAAGTAAATGCAGTGACATTAGAAAAGCACTTTAAAATTTACATTGTGCATTAGTGGAAAAGAGGGCCAAACTGAGTAACACAGAACCATAGTAAAATAACAGTTGCCTAATGGATCGAGAAACTCTGCTGTTCAGATTCAGGTGTTTTATTAAGCAACTGCTTCCTCTCATAATATAGCAGCAGGTATGTCTTGGATAGCTGGAATTGTGATTGCATAGAGCAGAGCCTGCTGAAGGACTCTACATCTGGCTTTAGTTCCACCAACAAGCAAATTGGTGGCCCTGGGTAGGTTCTTCCTGTTCTCATTGTTCTCATTGTTACACAGAGAAATCTGTGGTTACATCTTTTCCTCAGCTCCCTTTCCTTTGGGAGACCTCCATTATTTTTCCCCTCAGTCCCTTTGTAACAACTTATGTTGCTTATCATTTATTCACCAGCTTGCTATCACAGAGGAGTAAGAGTGAGCTCTTCTGCAAGGGAAGGTAAGAAGGCAGGAGAAGTGTCCTCACCAACAAAGGTAACAGTCCTGCAGCATCTGAATGAGGTTCACAGAGCAGGTCTGGTGATCATCAGACAAGCTATAAGCAAGGTGGTAGGTCTGAGGTTGAGACAGAGCCAGTAAGGCACTAAAACAAGCACAGTTCAAACAAAGACCAGCAACAAGGCCTGGAGCTTAAATGCAGTTCCTGGGCCAGTGGGGTGATGTGGGGTGGAGGCTCCAGATGAAGCTGATGAGGGCAATTAGGGTCTCTTGGTGTTCTCAATGTCCTGATGCATTCCAGCAGGTAGAAAAAATCACAAAGATTTTGCTTTTGTAAATGTAAGTCAGATGTTTAGCAATGTGAGGGGCTAGAAGAATGTAAGTCACGAAAGAGCTGTCAGTCGGAGCTGAGAGAGCAGAAGCAGATCTGGACCAGGATGCCAGAAAAATTTTGTACAAGGGGGATTTGTTATTTGGACTGTTCCAAGGATGAATGGTTTTGGAATGCCTTGGAACAAGAAAACTGTTTTTTTGTTTTATTTTTCTCCTTTTTTCCCCAATCACTTGCCTCCAGTTACCTAACACTGGCATGGATAGACAGACTTAAGTTACCTTTTTCATTATCTAAATTTCTGCAGGAAGCTTTTTGCTCCACGTTTTCTTCATCCACGTTGTTATTAGTATGTCTTCAACTTAATTCTGAAGTACTTGCATTTGGACACTGATCTTTGAAAACAATGAGGACATTGACTGTTATTTAGCTCAGCACACTAATCTGGGAGTATTTTAGCTTCCAGTACAGTAAATATTTATTGGGCAGTAAATGCAATTCCTAAATAAATGGATATTTGCTAAGAGGAGGATGGAGAAAGAAAGAGGAGCCAATCTGAGCAGAGATAGGAATTTCAGTTAGTTATTTAAATGTTTGCGTGATGTGGGAAAACAGCTTTTTCACCTAATGGCTTTTATGTTTACAAATATCTTTGCATCTTCTTTAAAGGGACTGTCTCACAAAGAATGAAGGCTTAAAACTCTTCTATATCAAAAATTTGTGATTTCACCAGTCACTGGCAGGTACAAATACATCTCCATATAATACTGTGTTCAAGTTAGTAGACTAGAAGTTTAAGAAGCTGGTTACTGATTTTCCCTAAACAAAAGGCAGAGGTCATTATAAAGCTACCCTTTGAAGAAAAGTCACTTAAGCTTATTTGAACCCAGAACAGACACAGCCATTCTCAGGCTAACTTGTTTTCCATTTTTATTAAAACATGTGCCTGGCAGCAGTACTGTCATATGAATCATGGTTAAAGAATCCAGTGGAAATAAGATATCTCTTGAAGCCTTTTCTGCCTGTAACACTTACACTGGAATATAAATGACAGAGTGAAACTTTTTTCCTTTTCTCTCTAATGAGATGAAGTGAGTGTTTAAGTGTTGATTAATGAACTTTTTCTATCTCCTGTAAATACAAATTAATAAAGTTTTTGGTCTCTCTAGGAATACGGACTTCTGTATGCTCTTCCATTTCCCTTTCAAAGGCAAGCAAGTATCTTCGCCCTCCTGAGGGTATTCTGATGGAGGTGGAGGAGTATTCTCCTTGAGAGCAGAGAATTGCCAACCAGCGTTACACTGTGTGTCTTCACAAAGAGTTAACATTGTCCCTTGGATTTACACCCTATTTAAAGCTTCAGAAGAGCAAAAGAAAAGTCCCAGAAAGTACAGAAATGAATCTGGGACATTCTGAAATGATTGGGTCTCAGAGTCAATGCCTGTGGGAAGATTTTGCTCTGGGACTCCAAGCTGTGCATCCCATGGCACTGCTGCTACCACCACTAACTTGCACACCCTGTATATTGCTACTGGAAAAGGGAGATTATTTGAGGCACCAGTGGCATAACAGAGCCATAGGAATTCATCGTGCCAGAAGTGGTGCAGAGGGTCAGCCAAAGTGATAGGGAACAGTTCATTCTCACAAGAGGCTTGAGGCATTTTCTCTCATTTTTTCTCTCTTGAGAATGATTGAGAGATTAGTGTTTGGTAGCCTTGTCATGTGCTCTCTGCAACTGCTTTGCCTAAAGGACACATCAATGAGAAACTTGTGGGAACTTCGTTTTCTATGTTTTATTACAGGAAGCTACACAACTAAAGTCAGTCTCCCCTTGCCCAGAGAAAGATCAAATGTTCTGCAACAAGAGGCCAGTTTCTGCTTATCTCTTATGAGTGTGGTGTGATGAAGTGGTCAATGCTAACCTGCTGTTTACAGCAAATGGGATCTAGCTCCTGTGATTCAGGTAACTCTTCTACCTGTACCTTGAGTCCATATTTCAGAGCTGCCAGTGTCCAATTTCTATTTTAATTTTTTTAAAAACAAAAATAACAGATTACACTGGTCAGAGCACTGGCAGGAGAGCAGAAAGGACCAAACAGAGATCCTATTCCATGCAAAAGAAAACTGTCTCTGAGTGACATGGGATGAACACGGGATAAACTGATCTTGATGCATACTGTCATAGCCAAATTTTTCCATTAGATCCAGAGCTGTTCTGGAGGCGGTTTGGTTTGGCTGAATTAAATGTTAAATATCACAAGTTGTTCCTGAAGCCACCTCCAGCATGCTCTATTCCCCGGTGTAGTCATTCCTTTAATAATTCCTACTAATTTCTTCCATTTTCTCCTTTTACCTGTGTTTAGTATATTGGGGTATGAGACTATCAAATTGAGTGAAAAGACTGCTGATTTCAGTGTCCCTTCAATTAGGGTATGAGATGCCAGTTATTTTGTATACATATATGTATGTATAAAATGACTACTGAAAGCTTAGAGTGAACAGTAGTGCTTACAAGCAATTCAGGCTAATAACCACAGAGATGGAATTCACTTATTTATCCATACAGGAAGCAGGAAGAGGAGCAAAGGAGCCTTGTTTTCCTGAATTTTTGATGTAGAGACATGAGCTTCAGTATTAGGGTAGTCGTACTGATGTGCTTTAGTTCTTTGTCTCCCTGGACATTCCTCTCTCAACCTTGGACCTTCCTCGTCACCATGAGCTTGCGGGGTGGTCTGGACTCTCAGCTGACCCTGGCTGTGCTTCCTGGCCTGCCCTGCTCCATCGTTTGGTGGCGGTGAAATGAGTCAAGTCTGCTCATAGGAGCCTTCAGACAAAGCTTCAAGGCTGTTTTTTCAATATAACTATTGATTTTCTTGAGCTATCTTGCTCTTTCACTATTCTTAATCAAATTGGAAGCAATGAAATATTAATCAGGAGATAAAAAAGAAGAGCGAGAACCTAATTTGTGCTATGATGACTGATACCATGATTGGAGCCACAAGGCAAAGTGGATTAGCAGGCAAAGCAGATTGGATTGACGAAGAAGCCAGTTTTTATGGCATTTTAAAAGTTTTTCTTTCTCAAAAGTGTTTTGATCCTATTTGACCATCACCACAGTGTGTTGGCACAGCTGAGGGGCAGGGAGCGGGTAGGATGAGCAAGCAGTGGAGGGAAGGTGGGCAGAAGGAACTGGGCTGTTTGTGCTGCTTATGGTTTATCTTCCAGCCCTGTTCTGAGTTTCCTAGGACCAGGCAGTGGAAAGCAGTCTATAGTAATGGTCATTGTGTTGAGATTGTTCAAAGTGGGTCCAGACATGTGCAATGAGGTTTAATACGCTGAACAAGCACAAAGGCGATGTTAAGCTTGCTTCCCCTCCACGCCAAGGCTTCTTCACTTTAACTGCAGTGCTGACTTAATTTTAAAATAAATTAATTGAATATTTCTTGATTTTGATTCTGATAGGTTTACAGTACAAGATCAAATATGGGTTAAATGATTCTTGAAACTAACCTGGAATATATATATTAGTGATGTTTGTGAGAGTGTACTTGGATCTGAATCTTCTGCTGAGTGTTCCTCTTTCTTTATTTCAGTTCTCTGGCTCGTGGTGGGCATCTAGCATGCATAACCCTTTTCTATAGAGCTGCCAAAGAGGGAACTCACAGGAGCTGAAATCACTTAGGTAACAGTGTTTGGTACAATAACGTCTAATCCTCCTGCAGTAAACATTGTGCAATTCTATAGGTTGAGACAAAACCTTTCTTTCTGTGGCAACATTTGAGGTAATAATCTTCAAAGTAATGCTAAGCAGCTGTTGTGAAAAAGGTTTTGATTTTCTTGGTGTTATCATTCTGATGTAAAATTTGGAAGTTTGAAATATTAGCAACTTCTGCCTGTTGGACTGAGAATGCCTTATGACAGGCTCTTAAGTTGGGTTTGGGGTCATTTTGAAAAAAACATTTAGTGGTTCTCCAGGTACAGATTCTACTGATATACATGCCAGCAGGCCCTCTGAAATTAGGGCTTCGTGGTTAAGTCACCTGTTTGTAAAAATACTGCTGTTGAATTGTTTTTATGCATTTACAAACAATACAAAGACAAGCATTTCTAGCATTTGAGAAGTAAAATGCTAGTAACAAATGCTGTAATGTAAAGTGTACTTTGGACTTTCTAATAAGTGCTTTAATATCAGTAATAAACTAGTTAGATATGTTTGGAATAACTTGTGGTATATATATTTTGAAATCAATAGAGGATGCCTTATCATGCTGCATAAACAGTACTGGTATCAGTTACCTGACCAGTTTTGATATCGGAACTGGAATGTTGTAGGGTTTCTGTAAGCTCAGTCTTGTAGTAGGGAAAAGTGGGTGTGATATGTAAAATAGAAAAATATTAACTTTTTTGCTGGAATTTTCTTACTTTCTTTGCAGCGTGTAGCTTTTTAATTGTAAATGTAACTGTTATTGTCTTCCTGAGACAGTATTAGCTAGGGGTTTTCTCCTTGTCTCAAAGTGCATCATATTAAACGTGTGAAAGTTTAAGCTCAGATAATATTTCTGCTATGTAATGCCTGATGGTATTTATTAGCTGTGTAATAATAGTGTTCTTTCCTCTCCACCTGCTGCAGGAGCAGCAGTGTTTAGTGCAGCCACTGGTAGAACACAGTGAGCTGTGCCACCAAGAGTTTGGTGGTATCCTGTTCTGTTTTGTTGCCTCCTTGAAAAGAAAGTACTTAATCTCAAAACATAATTCTGCACTTCAAATATGGGAAGAAGCATACATGCTTCAGGATATCAGGGGAGAACAAATCTACAAACTTTCTAAATGAAAACTGATCAAAATGCCAATATGGTAAGTGACAATGGCATATATTTGAGTACTGTTAAAAATAAAAGTTTGTATAGTTCTGTGCTGAACAACTCTTGGCGTTTCATGAGGCCAGTTTTATCCTAACTTATCTTGGCTTATGCTGCGTGACTATATTATATCTTGTTACAGGGCCAAAACCTGTATCTTTCTTGTTGACTTGGGGGTGAGGGGAGTGTTAGCACAGTATTCATTCCATCATTGTAATTTACAGCTACTTTATTTCAGAAGCAAAGTCTCCTATTTAGTACCTCACTTCCAGAAAGTAGTTCAAACATATATAGAACCACTTTTTCCTCTTTTTTCCACACCAACTATTGTTTCTTTAGTGTTTTGTCTACAGTGGAAGGGTTTCTGATCAAGCCATACACTACTTTCACAATATTCATATTGTGAAATAATATATTATTTGCGTAATGCAAATAATAGCAGACTAAGAGCCAGCATCTTGTTGAATGCTATTACCTTGCTAATTCCACAGTGGACAAGCTCTAATGATAAAACCCGAATTGGACCACAATCTGCAACTAGACTTAATGTTTTCGGTGTTGTTCATTTACTGATATTGCTCAGTAGTTCAGGCTGACCTTCCACAAGATGGCACTTCAAGTATCCTGATGGAATCTGTTCAGTACTAACGTCCAGGAAAACATACTGCATTGTTTATCTCCATTTGTAACATGCTGCCTTTGATTTGTTTATTTTTTTCAGCATCTTAAGACTGGTATCAGAATGGAGACCTGTATCTCCAGGTACAGACCCTCTGAAGGCACTCACATTAAATGTTCCCACTTCACCTTAATGCTTGTTCAGCTGTTTTCCTTGGACATCTCCATCTAAATCTAGCAGGTCAGTCCTGTTGTGAAGCTGTACCAGATCAAAGCTGTAGGAGGTATGGCTGCAGGCCATTTAGTACAGACTTGTGGCCAGAAATTTTCTGAGCATGTCAGTTGGAGTTCACAAGGACCATGCTTGGTTTAGAGACATGACAATGAAATACCCACAGGAAGACAGGCAGTGTTTTTATGGAGAGAAACATATTTTATTGATTCAATACAAATGTAACTGTATACAACTTTAAAAGCCCTCGGGAAACCATGAAAATATAATACCGGAATATGTTAAATTTCTATTCTGGTGTTAATATACCAAGTGCTGGGATTTTCAGATTACTCATCCGGAGTCATGAAAGGTATACTTACGTATTTGGAAAAGAAGGTCTCTAATTATGTGGTAAAAAAATCACATGTTAATCATTACAGGTCTCTAGAAATGATCTGTTTAAACTGTTTGTATTAGCTTTTGAAGATGTAAAAGGGATTGCAATCTAATTTTTTTCAATACTGTATAAACATACTTTGAAAAGTATTCCATGCCCATGCAATATAACTACAATCAGAGCAGAAGTTCAGAGAACTCAAGTGACCTATCAAATGTCACTCAAGTCTGGAGATAACCCAAGTATCTGAGTTGCTTTTTATCTATCAGGTCATGTTTTTGTTAAACAACAATGTAAACTTTGTTTCAAATAGATGTGCTCTTCTGTTATTCTACTGTATCTTTCCCACTTTTCATAGAAAGACCAGGAAAAGAGACTTATTTTAGAATTATTGTGTTAAGACACAACTTCTAAATCTTTCTACCCATTGCTTTTAAAATCAGATGTCAAATTTAAATTAACACTTTTAATATATAGGCATGGCTGAAAAGTGCTCTGAGAGGCATGGCCTGACTGAAGTAAAGCTCTGTGTGCTACTGTAAGGTGACGATGGTGCTGCCGTGAATTGACAAACGGTGCTTTTGGGACTGTTGGACAGTAAACAGAGAACATTCAGGGAGCTATAAACAAAGTTTATAACTGAGTTCTTCCATGACATGAATGAAAGCTTTTTAATTCCTCCTAGGATTCCCTGCTTACAACTGATCTTGCTGGGGAATGAGTACATCAATGAGAGATCATGTCCCTGGGCAGATCAGGTGCCAATGCTTTCTGAACTAGTATAAATCATTATTTCAGGAAGCTTGGATGTCTTTGCAGAGTAACAGGTTTCTGACTTCTCTGGGAGTCTTTAACAGCATCTCAGACTTGTTCAGATTGGGTGTTTCCTTCTACTTCAGCAAAATATTGGAACACCTTCTACTCAGATCAGAGTCTTTGTTATTCTTTGAACAGGCAATGCAACTAACTCAAACGTAATTTGGAAGTGAGGGGAGTGTGCTTGTTATCCTGTGGGTGCTACTGTCCTGATTCCTGTACTTCTTGCAGCTGAGCTTCATATTGAGAGTCATCTTGAACAAGTTCTTGGGCGACCTGAATTGTAGGAAATAGCAGACTGTTACTTACCCATGACAAGGAGACTTTCATCTGCATATTCCTTGTCTGATCACTGTGTGTGAGATGCAGTTAAAATCTGCCTTATAATATAAACATGATTTTTCAGACACTGCTTGGTATTTTGAAGTCTAATAAACCACCCTGAATGGGGCAGTTAGAATAAGGGCAAAGGTAAAGTGAACATGCTGGTAGACTAATAAGATGAGTCAGGGAGACGGAAGTTGAGGCAAGTGATCAGTGTGGCCTTGTCACCATGGATAAGGGCAGCACAGTGGCTTTGTCAGCATGAACAGGAGTAATCTAAAACCTCAGAGCTGAAAGGTTAAAAATGTACCTGACAGTCTTCTGGCACTTCAGGAGTAGCCTGCCCATCTTTTGTAAGGGGCTAAAAATGTGCAGATGTTTGACTGGAGAAACTAGAACCCATCTGTGTTGCTCTCAGCAGCAGTTAGGGAATTGAAAGAACAGCTGAAAATGTTTTGAAAGGAATCTCTGAACTCCTCTTTTCACATATATGGAAGCAGCTTGAAGCAGACTTGTCTCAGGATTAACTCTTGATTATTTATGCAGGCTACTGCTGTGAGCCAGGTAAAGAAGTTATACTTGTGAGTATAATTTAAAGAAACTACTACCATAAATACAACTGCAAGCAAGTTAAGGTTTGTAGAGTCTGTTTACATTTATTAACTCAATGTTTTGCACAAACATTTAATACTCATAAACTAATTGCATCACATGGGATTAATTACTGTATGAGTAGTCATGCACCTTCTTTCAGGTCTCTTGTCTGAATAAATGTCTTTGGTGTAGCGACTGGCCCAGACACTAGTTAGGAACACATCCCCAGGAAATGGAGAGAGATGGACAGCCCACAGAGCCATAAGCTTATATATACATATTTAACAGGTTAGTGCTAATTGTGTTTTACTTCGGTACATGAATTGGAAGACAAGTTTCTGGGCTTTCCTTTGATAGGAGAATGGCGGGAGATTGGTCTAATGCAAAGCTCTAGAAAAACCTTGCATGCTCACTTGTAATTTAGTATTAATTTGTCTTTTTCCACACTTACAACAAATGTTTTCTAGGAAAATACAAAAGCCTCCTAGAAAGGAAGCAAATCTGATCTTAGTTTGATTAATATTCTCTTTGCCAGGTTTGTTCCTGAGACTTTGAGATTACTGCCTTGGTGTATGAAATGCCTTTTCCTATATTACAAACATCAGAAGATACCAATTACAGAGAAAGGCTGTTTCAAATGTCCTTGGAATTAATTGGAGCACTTACCTATGCTTCAGCAGGCCTTCCCATTTAATGTGGTATGATTTGGTTCAGACCTCCCTTAAAAACAAAACACAAGATGTTCCAAAAGTAAGTTTTCAGGAATGCTGGCAGGCATCTTTCCCACCAACAACCTCATTCTTGGTAATGTTTCAGATGAGGAGATTGAACTGTGTAATTAACATGTTAGAGCTGTATTTACAAGTTGAAAAAAATCTTTTATTCCTTAAAGACTGCCTTGCTGAACATTACACAGAGAAAAACAAGAAGGAAAACAATACTAGTTTTCATGAAAAATGTGAAAGTAAGGAACTAACTGGCTGTGGCTGTATGCAATCCTGGCAGCTATCTTTTGGTATCACAGCTACCAAATTCCCTTTCATCCATCACTGATACTGAGCCACTCCACATTCTTTCGAACTCCTTCATGTTACCTGATACAAGACTTTGTTATAATGAAGCTCTATAAACCTGAATTTCAGGCTTGTTTTAATGTATTACTCTTTATGCAGGTCTTGGGCCTCTTTCAAAACAGGAGTTTAAAAAAACAAAGCTGCTAGGTAGAGTTAGAGTTAGATGGATGTGAGAGTCCTGCTGACTTCCCAACAGGCAACTTCATTGAATGTAATGCACTGTGATCTACATTCCTGGCTGGTTTAGAGCAATTCCATAGTGAGCAATGTCTAGCAGAATAGGATGTGTTGTGACACCTCCCTCCACCAGCTGAAGCTGGTTGCTGCTGAAGCTAGCAAGTTTCCTCTGAAGAGTTGCTGCATCTAATCAACTAGAGTTGGAGTTACTTTCCTCTTTTTTCTCCCTCTGCCAGCTGTAACTGGTGAGCCTGCCTTCCTGTGCTAGGCACGTTCTTACAATGCACCAAACACTCAGCTGCAGGCTGCTTGAAGTATCTGCTCTGCTCCAATGAATATACTGGTATTATTCCCAAAGTGTGGTATTAGGCAATTGATTTCCAAAGACTTTGGCAAAATCTTTAAAGGATTGGAGTCGATATTAAGCCAAAGAGGTTTGGCGTGGAGTTCTGCCTGACTCAGTTGTTCTCTTTCCCAATGGAGTCCTAAATGTAAGCTCTCTGCTTTGTGGCATGTTGCTTTTGACGGGCTCGTACCTGCACAAGAGCAC